AAATGACCCTTCCTCCTGCTTTCATCAGCTTAGTTGATGTCTCTCCAGCTTACCACTCTTTCAGCTGGAACCTGCACTGTCACCATACTGTGTCTCTCCAATTTTATGTGCAATAGTGGCAGAGTCCTTCTATATTACTGTATATGTTTCAGTCTCTATCCTTTGAGATTCTTTTAGATTAGGATACAGTAACTATACAATGGCTGTTATCAAAACTTTTATTCACTTATTTTCAAAGTATGGCTCTTGTGTCTGCATGTATATCTGTGCACCATGTACATGCCTGGTATAGACCAAGGCCAGAAAGTGTTGGCAGCCCTCAGATTGGAGTCACAAATGGTTATAAGCTATTGTATATGTGCTGTGAATCAAACCTAAGTCCTCTGGGACAACAGGTTATCTTAACTGCTGAGCCATCTATCCTTCAAACCCCCAAAACTGGGTCTCATTATCCAATTCTCAGGTGGTTTTAGGTTTTTTTTTCTTCCCTAAAACGTTGAATGTATATACTTTGTATTCTATATGTGTATTCTTTACATGAAAAGTGACTTATCAGTTCAGTTTTCCCATTTATTAATTGGATTATTTGCTCTTCTGATTTTTAATTATTTGTCATCTTCATACATTCTGTTTAGTAATTATCAGTAGGATGAATCATTGTCGAGGATTTTCTTCTACTCTGCAGGCCAGGCTATCGCTTCTCCACTGTGGCCATTGTGTTCTTTGCTGTACAGAGATATTTAGTATGGTGCAGTCCTGTTAGTCAGGATAACCCTATTATCTTTGGGTTAATGGAAGGAAGTTCTATTCAAAAGTTATTACATTTCTTGAAATGTTTCTTATATGTTTTCCTACAGTAGTTTAAAAGTTCTAGGTCTTACCTGAAGGTCTTTTTGAAGAATGTATGGTACTTCCTGTTAAAAAGTCAATTTTGGTTCCCTGAACTTGAGTACAAACGCCACTTCTTCACAATGTTCTGCCTCCAGATGGTTCTATTATGTATCTTTCAGTTCATTCTCCCCATCACTAAGGAGACTCTGAACCTTACTGTCCTACCTGTGAATGAAGAATGAAAACATGAGCAAATAAAACTTCCCCTTATCCTTGTATGACATCTCTTTTATATGTATTATTCTGAGGAAAATGATAATCTAATTAGTTATGGGTAATTATATTGAAAATATAATCATTTGACTTGAAGGCACTTAATAAAATTACAGTGCTTAATTGTTTGTATCCATACTTTACTATAATACACATTTAGGTGGAGAACTAATGATTTTCCTAATTTTATCTTTATAGTTCTAACACTTTGTGTTTAATGTCTCAGTATTGGAGATCACTGCTTTTGTAATCAATCAAACTTAGGTTCAAAGTCTTTGGTCCCTCCTTGAGCCATACTTAGCCACTCTGACTCTAAGTAGTTTTCACACTGAAGTGGCTGTAAAATAAGATTGTGTAAAGTCATTCAGTTTATACATGAAGTTATTGAGACAGATGAGTGAGTTATTCTGGGAAGACAAACCTGAGCTAAGAAGTAATGGTTGAACTCTGAAATCCACCCTTATTGGCCCCTGTTGATTCTGTACTGGCCACTGATGGGAAGCTGTTTCTGGTATATAAATAGCTTCCCAGCTTGAGTGATATCTATCTCTTCTTTCTGCCTGAGGTATAGCCAAGTTGGAGTGGAGTTGATCAACCTGAGTCAACACAGAGGATGAATTGCTAGAAAAATGTCTTGTTTCATACCCTCCAGTGATATTCAAGCATGTTCCCCAGTGTTTCAAAGAGCTTACTGACAGATACTGTTCAGATATCTTGTACTTTATGAATTAGATTGTGTGTTCTGTTGTGTTTATGGATTAGAGTGGTAGTGTATCCAGTGCAGTATCCATTCATTATTGGTTTTTGTCTTTCACATGTGTACGGTGTTATATATGGTTACATATGCATATGTACATATGTGTATGTGTGGGTGTATTCACCTGTACAAGTGCATTTGGATGCAGGTGTTAACATCTGTCTGTTTCCCTCAATTGTTGTGCTACCTTATCTTCTGAGACAAGGTTTCTCACTGAACCTGTTAATCACTGTTTGGGCCTGGACTGTCTGCCCTGTAACTCTCGTGGAATATACTTTTATTAGCCCTTCGTTCTGGGATTATAGCCATTATGTCCATCATACCTAACTTGCTATGAGGTACTCAATATTTAATATCAGTTCTTTATGCTTGTTCAGCAGGCACATTGCCAAGTGACATATCACATGTACTCTGTCTTATACTACTTTTTCCACAATATTCCTGTATCTCTCAGCATGTGTCTTCCAAGGTCATCCTACACACAAAGGTACTGTCCAGGCTAGGGAAATAGCTTAGTGCATAAAGTTCTTGCTGCAAAGTTGTGTGAATATGACATACAATCCCCAAGGCCACATAAAGGCACTACAATCTGAAATCCTGGAGTCTGGAGAATCCCTAAATGTTCTCCCCAGCTAGTCTGTCATGTATGAAAATGAACAATAAAAAAAAACATTTCTAACAAAGTTAGAAAATGATTACCTTTTACACACACTTCTGACCCTTCCTGTGCATTCCTGCCTTCACACCGGAGCATGTCCATGAAACATACATGCATATCCCTTAAACCATGCCCATACATATGGGCATGTGTATGCACTCTCTTGCAATAAAGCATTTAATATTTTTGTTTTTGTTAAGAATTTTCCTTAGTCATGGAATTGGGCTGACTTGAGGAAAAACTTAAACTAGAGTAACACTTGGAAATCTATAGGAACCATGACTAGTGAAGGCTCATTGTGTCATGTTAGACAGGAGCCAAAAGTTAAGAGTATTCGTTTTAAAGAACCAGAAGCTGCAGTCTATGGCTGGCATGAGAAGGACTGTAAGGTACTGAGGTGTCTGGTAACACGTTATAGCTAGGCTTTAAATGAAATTCTTAGCGAACTCCTGTTATTCTCAGGAACAAAGACTATAGACTAAAGGATTTTGGAAAAGTAGTAATGAAATGATGCTAGACAGTAGCTTCATGGGGTACTGGAGCCAAGGCTCTGTGGGAAAAGAAGTGTGTGTTTGCATGTGTGTGGGCGGGGAGTGTCGGTGTGTGTGAGTGTTGGAGGAGTTACCAGTAGTGACTCAGATGACAGCACCTGCTAAGAGTTATGTATGTTGCTATTGTATGGGGTAGAGAATGCCACAATGATAGGTAGATATGTAGGCCATTTTAGTAGGGAAGCAGTTCAATCACAGGTATGATTTCTGAGGATGCTGGATTCTTAGCTTTTTTTTTTTCAACACCTATTTCATTCCCTTAACTTGTACGTTATTTGTGCACTGTAATCTAACTCAAAACATATTTAAATAATTGCAGTGTCTGAGAAACAATAGACTATGTGATTCTCATTCATCCTTGGAGAAAATCTGGGGTTTTTAGTGACAAATATTTAAACTTAAGTGTTAGTGAGGATGTAACTAATAAGCATGGGAAGATATTAGAATGGTGGGTTTCTGTCCACTATGGCAAATGCCTTCATCAGATTATTTTTGACATCTCTCAGACATATCAGTTAAATATTATTGCTTTCATGTTGGTGTTATTGCTGACATGGTGAAAACATTTTTATTTCACTGTTAGAATAAAACAAATGTATATAAAACTTTTTAGGAAGATGTGGGTTTAAAGAAAAAAAGAAAAAAAACTAATTGAAAGTCAATGTAGATTTTGAATGATTAACTCTGTGCCAAATAAGTCATTAGAAATCCCTGAAGGATATGAAAAGGCAATCATTTGCAAAATTAGAGAGAACTAAATTCCAGTAGATATACTGTTCTATATTTTAATTTGTATATTCAGAAAAAGTGGAATGTAGAAATGGTGGGATTTTAACGGAATTGCACTTACTATGGTAAGTCTGCATCTGCACATGATACTGAGATTTAACCAGGCTAATTAACTTTCATTTGGATACACAGATTTGTGTGTGTGTGTGTGTGTATATATATATATATATATATATATGTAGATAGAGAGAGAGAGAGAGATGTGTGAAATAGATGATAGATACACAGATAGATACATGATAGAGAGGCAGATGAATGTGTTAGATTAGATAGCTAGATAGATGATAGATATTATTGCCTTTGTTGTGTATAGCATGTTCTAGTGTCTTGCAATGCTTTAGGCATACAAAAAGCTATGTTGTTGTATTTTGTTAGTTTTGTACACATTAGTTTTCAACCAAATACACACATGAAATCTCTTACAGATAAGAAATGATGCTCGTGGCTTCCTTAGGAAGGGAATGGAGTACTACTTTGGCACTTTCTACCCAAATTTATCTATTTTGCCCTATACCAAATTAAAGTAACTCTCCAGTAGCAACTGTTTATCCTGCAACTATATTTTTATGGACACAATATGCTATGCCTAGACATCTCACTACAATAAACAAACATGACTATGTCTTCAAGTCTGCATGTATAGGTCCGTGACATTATTTTCCATCATCATTTTTATTATAGAAAATAAGAAAAATGATAAACAAAGCTATAATAGTGTGTAAAGCACTATAGATGGTTTGTATTGTACTGTTTTTTTTATCAACTGGTAAAATGACAAACTACCCCAAAATAACTTATTTATCAAATGACAGACAGATCTTTATAAATGATGAAACATCAGTAGTAAGGAACAACAGAAAACAGCTTGATTTAGAATTTGAATTTCCACATAATCTTTGTAAAAAACAGAAGGAGATCAATAGACTATAATAACTAACTTTATTCTCATTTCATATGCTTCAAATACTTAATTGCAAAAGATATTTTTAGTACCATCCAACACTTAGTTTTTAAGGTCAGCTGCAATACCATTGGGTAAAGGAGAAACATCATTTATCTGTAATTGAAAAGCTCTCTATTTTACATTTACCATTCTGCACATTATTGATTTTTTTTTCTTTTTTGATGTTGTTCCTTGCAGAGAGTGAATCTGTCCTTCGATTTTCCATTTTATGGTCATTTTCTACGTGAAATCACTGTGGCTACTGGTGGTAAGTTGTTTTCTATGCATTTACCTAAGAAGAAATCTAGTTTCATTACAGTTTATTTTTAATGTATCCTGTCTTACAAGATACATGAAATTTACTAATAAAATGATTGTTTTATAGCACACATACATGAAATTAAATAAAAGTTAAGATTAGAGCTATTGGGAAAAATTTTCAGCAGAAAAATAGAGTACAATTGTAATTTTCAGGTTAGAATCACCACTAGATTTTTTGTTTTTGAGTTTTAACTCACTTATGGCAATATGGTAAGATTATATCTATGAAATGGAAAAAAATGGAATAGAAATATCATGAAAAGACCCAAAACAGAGTGGTTGCAATCTTTTACATTTTCTTTTATTATGTTTAATTACTATGCATGGGTATTGTCAATACAGCAGCCTGTTCTTTACCTTAAATTAGTTTGTCTTGTCAATGAATGTCTCCTATATTAACAGATAAATTCGAGAATCTTATACATTAACATCCAGTTTGACTCTTCAAATTTTTGATTCCTCTACAAAATTGTAAAATTCTATTGTCTATATTTGATATTCATTATCTGAAGAAGGAATGGGTCATGTTTCATGGTATGTCCCAAAGTTTAGAGATGTGTTCATCATGATGTGCAGCTGAAAGAATTAATTAAAGACCCAGAACTGTTCCTGTAAGTTACAGATGGTATAGAAATGGTTGAGAAAATTAAGGAAAGTAAACCAAATTAATAGAACTATAAAGATAAAAGCAAGTGAAATTTCACCTATAGTCATCAATTGTATAATGAAATTACTTAAGATATTTCTTGGAGGATAGCAGAACATTTGTGGGTTTACAAGAAGAAAGAATATCTCCTGGAGACTCACATGAGTGACACACAAAGGATGAAATGGACAGAGGATCATTTTTAAAATAGCAAAATCATCAAATTTGAGTGAAGCTAATGATATATTTATGAAGTAAAATGCAAATCAGGGAAGTAAATTGGGACAATGTTATATAATATTGCTTTGAATCATTGATCCTTAAAGATATACATAATTAATTTTAACAAGATGGACATTGATATTTATACAGTTGCTTATAGTTCAGACATTGTGTAATCTGAGTATATTTGCTTGGAAGAGTATTGAAGTCACTTGTGGTAGAGCTTAGGGGATTTGATGCTTCTAGTCTAGAGTAGGGTGTTTTGTGCCACAACTACAGAGACAAATGGGAAATATTTCAGTTACAAACAAAAGGCTTCAGATATCTGTGAGTTTAAGGCCAGCCTGATCTACTGATCTACTGAGTAAGTCCTAGGACAGGCAAGAGAGAGAGAGAGAGAGAGAGAGAGAGAGAGAAAGCTACAGAGAAACATTGTGTCAAAAAAAAAATGGCCCCAACCCCAATCATGAACATACTAAATTTTTGTGTGTGGGAGAAAATTTACTTAAATGAAGTATATATAATAAATCTACCCTAACCATGTATGTGCTATTGAGGAGAGCCTTCTCTTTAATTAACTATATTTAGGTATTGAATGAAACATAAAACTGTGAAAATGAAGGATGGAGTCACTAAAACATGAATGGCACCATATTGTATTTCATTAAAGGATACAGAAACATGGAGATTTTACAATAGAGGTGTTAGATATGAGGTCTACCATGGCAAATATCTGATGCACTAGGATGGTACCAAGTTTGCATTTGCTCATAATAATATACACAATATATACACATTGTAATAAAAATATGGAGCCTTGTTTCAAGTAGACTGTAAATGCATGTCAGTGATTAGGTGCCTATTAAGATCTACCTTACTGTAGTGCACAGTACCCAACCCAAGAAGATGGCTCTGTAATGCTTAGGAATAGAATGTACTAGTTTAAAAATACCTCACTTTAAAAAAATAAAAATCTTTAATGTTACCTATCCTCTTTGTAAAAGCATCAATTAAAAGACATTGTTTTTGTGTACTTAAATTGTATTTATAATAGTAAAGTTGATATAGAAATTGTTGTATCTCACTTACTCAAACTTAAATCAGAGGCCTCACCAAGATCATTCAGTTGCTGACCCATATCGTCACATTGAAAACAGATTCTCATTAAAATTTTCAAAATAAACACCTAGCTTGACTGTTTTAATGATTGATCATCTGAGCGATTCTAACCAAGACCCGGTAACAGGCTCTGTATAAGATGCTCCAAGCTGTACCGGGGAGAAGAGCCTATGCTTCTTGGCTGAGATTATTATCTCATGTAAGGCCAAAGAAAAAGAGTATGAATGAATGAAAGGCCAAGAGAGAACTTACTCAAAAGGAGATGATTTCTAGTGAGCAATGCAAGAACAGGTTATGAAAAAATAAACCTTTGGAGCTGAACAATAAGAGGGTTGGATTTTATAAGGCAAAGAAGTGATGGGTAAGCCAATGGATGAGAAAACATGGTCCAGGAAAGAGAGTGCTGAGCAAAGTCATAGTTCAGAGGCCTGTATTGTGTTTGAAAAGAGTGATGCTGGTGCTTTAAACACTGAAAGCCTGAGTGAGATCTTGCCAGCCTTGGGTTGTTCAGATTGGATCTAGTCTGATCTGACAGTGGGAGCCAGTGGGGGAGGAGTGGTAGTAGAGACACTAGATAGTATAGTTGTCTTTATATTTTTTTCATTTTATTTCATTATATATTATGAAAATATACACTACTAACTAGCATATTGTATAATAAGTTATAATATAATGCAGTGATGCATTATATAATGATGTGATATTATAAATAAGGTAACAGTTTTAACTGTCTTGGTATTAATCTCAATCATAAATTATGCAAGTGTGGGTGCATATATATACATATGCATGCATGCATACATGCCACATTATGTGTAGGGGGAGCTACCTTGCTAGCCTGAGATGGCAATGTTTGAATTTGTTTTGTAGATATAATTCCTGAGCTAGAATGGGTGAAGTGGAAAGTGGAAGAGGCAATTGCAAGATCTGTCATTTGAATTGTTCAATCATTGTGGGGAAAAAAAAAAAAGAAAAAAAGAAAAAGAAAAACTGTGTGGTTTGGAGATCCAAACCACAGACTTGTAGATCTTTGTGAATGATTAGTTATAAACTAAAAGACAATTCGACAAATCTTCAGGGTCATTGCACATCTTAAAAAGGTTACTCACCATAGAGGGCTCAGAAAAGAATAAAAAAATGCAAGTCAAATTTAAAACATTGATTTCAGGGCATTGCTACTAGGTGAGGGCCAGGGATTTCAAAGTTAGGGACATCAGCTTCCATTCTATTGACTGCAAATTATCTTTGATGGTGTGCCTGAATTCTGCTGGATCTTGTTTCTATATCAGTGCAAGACAAAACAAACAAACAAAAACAAAACAAAAAAAAACCAAAAGAACAAGGATGCTTTCATGGTGAGTGCAAGCTGTATCAACAAATAAAGCAAATGCTTTGAACACATATCCGATCTCATTGCCTCATGTATTTGTTTTTTCCCATGCTTTCTTAACCACCCTCTACATACACACTGACACACACGCAAACACACATACACACACACACATTCACACACAAAATTTATGACTGAGATCTAAGATTAATTCCAAGATAGTACTCCATGCCACTGTTAAGATCAATACAATTTCAACTCAGAAGCTGATTTTAAAATACAGAAAATACATAATTCATTGTAGCAAATCTGTATTATGTACATGTATTTATTTACATGGTATTATGAATAAACTTCATTTCTACTTTAAATTTTAAAATTAAAATACCAGGCTTTTACTTATAACTATAAAATATCCTTTAGTTATTGAACATTTTAATATTCAAAAGCTTCAATCATCCATACAAATAATGTAGAAAATGAATTTAAAATACTATCTTATTTTCTGGTTCACTGACAGCAAAATCTGAAAGCATTTATTCATATTTCCATTTAAAACCCATTTTAGTATGCAAATATTTTACATATCTCAGAACTAGTCCTCCGTGCAGCTATCATCAAAAGCATGTCCCTTAATGGCTCTGTTGTGTCCTGTTGCTTGTGTCTTACAGCTTATTTCATTTCACATGTATACCTTAATTTTCTACTGTACTGTTAATTTCACATTTTACATGTTTCAAAGTAAAGTGTTGTTTGATGTTTTTTGTGGTTACTTTCTGTGGCCATCAAGACTTGAAGCATTTTAACCAGAATCCAGCATAAGAAATGTGAGTGATAGAGTAGAGAAGAGTTTGTCATGATTCAGAAACAAAACTTAACTAGTTGGACAGGTTACAACATGTATGTAATTGTGAGTATTTACACACAAAGATGAAGTATACCAAGAAGCTAATGTGGAATGCTTGCTACTTATTTTGAATGTATAACGTAGTTGCCCTGTTCTGTTTCTATATAAATTTCTGATTGCCATTTCATTTTGAAAACTGTTTAACATTTTTGCATACATTTCCTTTAGTTGCCATATGATAACTATTAAATGTATAATTACAGTTACATAACGAATTCTTATATTTGAAAATGAATATTTGAATGCTAAAATTGCAGGTTAAACAGTGAAATGCCAATCTCTCTTCTATCATTCCATAATAGACCATGCATGCCCTTGTCAATCAAACTACACTTCTAAATAGTCTTTAAGTTATGGAGAATTAAATTCAAATGAGTTTTCTTCTATGTCAGGCCAATAATTATTTTTGCATATTTTAGGTCTTCGGCAAGATATATTAAAACTTAGGTAATATTGTCATCACTGGATTTTCATGAAGTATATTACTAAATTTTCCATCTTTTTATTTGCTTTCAAATAGTAGTATTTTAAATTTAGTTCCAAATAATATTTTATGGTTTTTCAAGATACTTGGTTAATAGCAGAAATAAGAGGATTGTAGGAAAGAAAGAGGGTTAGGTAGTTATAACTCACAGTGATTTGTGAACACTAGCCATCTTGTTCCAAAGGTAAAACTTCAAAAACAGATTGTGATGCACCCACAAACCATCCCAAGCTAGTGAA